TCAGCTCCAGGTCTTGTTTTTGCTGACTGTATAGAGCTTCTCCATCTTTGGCTGCAGAGAATATAATCAATCTGATATCGATATTGCCCATCTGGTGATTTCCATGTATAGAGTCGCCTCTTGTGTTGTTGGAAAAGAGTGTTTGTGATGACCAGCTTGTTCTCTTGACAAAACTCTATTAGCCTTTGCCCTGCTTCGTTCTGAACTCCAAGGCCAAACTTCCCTGTATTTCCTTTTATCTCTTGGCTCCCTACTTTAGCATTCCAGTCCCCTAGAATGAGAAGAACATCTTTCTTTGGTGTCAGTTCTAGAAAGTGTTGTAAGTCTTCATAAAATTGTTCAGTTTCAGTCTCCTCAGCAATGGTGGTTGGTGCATAAACTTGGATTATTGTGATGTTGGAAGGTCTGCCTTGGATTCGTATTGACATCATTCTATCATTTTTGAGATTGTATCCCATTACAGCTTTTCCCACTCTTTTGTTGACTATGAAGGCTACTCCATTCATTCTATGGGATTCTTGCCCACAGTAGTAGATATGATAATCATCTGAGCTGAATTCGCCCATTCCTGTCCATTTTAGTTCACTGATGCCCAGGATGTCTATGTTTATTCTTGCCATCTCCTGTTTGACCACCTCCAATTTCCCAAGGTTCACAGATCTTACATTCCAGGTTCCTGTGCAGTATTTTTCTTTGCAGCATTGGACTTTCCTTTCACTTCCAGGCACGTCCACAGCTGAGCGTCCTTTCGGTTTTGGCACAACCACTTCATTAGCTCTGGAGCTACTTATCCTCCGCTTTTCCTCAGTAGCATGTTGGACACCTTTCAACCTGAGGGGCCCATCTTCCAGCATCATATCTTTTAATAAATCCTATCTTTTACCAAAAATGCCTCATGTGCCCCTTAATGTCACCAGTCAGCAATCCAGCCAGGAATTTCTCTGTATTATGTTATTTACGGTACCTAGATGATTCTTCTCCCTTCCTCCGTGGAGCTCTCCTCTCTCTCTCTCTCTCTCTCTCTCTCTCTGTCTCTCTCTCTGCTTCCCCCGGCGTCTGGGGTGCACACTCGTAAGCAGTGCTGGTCCTACAGGGCTGCTACGGATGCCCTGTAGTATCAGCGCTACTAATGAGTACAGTACTGGGGGGTCTGTTAAGCCACCACCATTTTGCCTAGTCCCAGCAAGCTTGAGGCAGCGTCCTTCTAGATCATCGTTGTTAAAAATGTGTAACTATCAGACTGACCACTAGAGGGAACCAAACACAATGTATTTTCTTCATAAGACGCACAGACTTTCCACCTCACTTTTTTTGAAGAGAAAAGTGCGTCTTATGGAGCAAAAAATGTGCTGTATTTTTCATAATGATGTATGATTGTCCTTTTTTTAAAAAAAGGTTACTAGTCTTTTTAAAAGGACTTATTTCTGTGAAATGCCATTGTCAGAATGTGTATAATGTAATTGACATGGTATAGGTTTTATAATAAAATCAATAGTAATTAAATGAAAACAAAATTCTTCCATTTCACTGAACAGCATGTAGGCAATGTCAAGGAGGCTGCCAAATGGATGGATGAAGCACAATCACTGGATACAGCTGATAGATTCATCAATTCCAAATGTGCAAAATATATGCTACGAGCAAATATGGTGAAAGATGCAGAGGAAATGTGTTCGAAGTTCACAAGGGTAGGAATTATTACTTTTAATTGAGGTTGATGGTGAATATATTTGAAAACTTAATAATTATATTTGTCAGATTCAAAACATTAACTTTAACTTCTAATTTCTTAGCTTTCTGAACCAATGTCATGGGTTATCTTCTTACAATTAGTTTTTTTTATTCAGTTACGATTTGGGGTAGAAGAAATATTTTGAAAAACTATATAAACACAGTCAGTATCCTTTTCCATAGTGGAGGTGATGTCATTGGCAGCAACAGATTGTTTCAGTCTTGGGTTGTGCACAGCGCTCATGCAGTGAGATGAAATGAAAGCCTGGACTTTTTAATTAGTAGCCATTTGCCACTGCATAGAGCTACACAACCAGATTTTGGCCATTAATTGGAGATGTTTAAGGGGAAAAAGGAGAAAAAAGGAAAAACAAAATATTGTGGCACATTAATAATTGCCAGATTTGTTTCAATTTAAATGTTTGATTATCAAAATTCATTTCCTCTGGCATGTTGATACAGGAATTTCAGGATAATAGCAGAATATGCATTTGCTCAGCAAAGGTAATTCCTTTGCCAGAAAGAATATGTGACAGAATTTTGTAGCCTTTGCCTTGTTGCACCAACAATAGAAATCATGAATGCTTATATTTTGAGCAAAATTTGTTACTTTTTGACAAATCCAGCAAAGTAAGTTGTGGAATGCTGACCCAATCAAAAGACACCTCTGGCTGTAAGAAAAGGATAGGAAAGTGGAGAGGGCACTAAGAAGGCTGGAGTCCTGAGCCCTCTCTTAAAGTGGTCTGAAGCTCCAGTCATTCCCAGACTACAGTTTGAGAAATGTTCTCTTACAGTGTTATATTATTTATTTCAGTTTCATGTCTATGCCCCTTTTCTGTTATAAAGGGACTTAAGGTGGCTCACAAGAATTAAAATGCACCTAGTGCTAAAAAGTACAATGAATGTACCATTTAAAAGCAACTAGATATTGATCATAAAATTTTAAATGCACACTTGAATGAATTGCCCAGCTAGTTATAATTTCTTTGTAATCTCATGTATCTGATTTATAACTAGCTGGGTAATTCATTGACTAGCTGCAGAGCCACACGTCAGGAGTCCACTTCTCCACTTTTCCATCCAAGAGAAGGGACCGCCTGTGTGGACTTGGGCAGACTACGCACTCCCAGAGGGCCCCCAGGAGAAGGGAATGATAAACCATTTCTCTGATTCAACCAACATGATGGCACACAATTCATGCTAGTATTAGTGTTAGTATTATTATTATTGGAGAAACCTACTTGTTGACGTACAGGATCTGAGGAGAAAATTACACTTGCCACTGCATGGATGCATATTTTGCATGAATATGTAAGACATAGATATGTCTAGTTACTAGGGGAACAGTGGCTGCTGTCCTAATCTCCTGCTTCACCCCATCTCCCTCTCTACTATCACACCCAGTAGTCACCTAAATAGCTTTGCCGGCACGCCACTTTATTGCTTCCTGCACTAAGCATTGCCAGGGCTTTTCCAACAGAATATTCTGAATCAACACAATAGTCATAATTGCTTGGAATATTCCTGTATGCTACATTTACTATGTTCTGGAATCATTGGGAGGCAACAGTGAAGATGAGCACTCTCACTCCCATAACTGGCCCTGATTTGGCATCATGGAGCTAATTAGGGAGGGGTTGGGCTATCCCTTCACCAGTCATAGCTGTCAGCCAACAAAGGTGAGGCAGAGCCCTCCAGTTTCTTTGCGTATACCCCAAGAACAGCATCATTAGAAACATTATCCGTAGTCTCTTTGAGATTTTTTAACTCCCGAGATTGCTAGGTTCTTCTTTCCTTTTTAATCCTTGGTTTGGACTTCTTTGGTATTTTTTTTTTTTTT